ATTCTTATAATTTCATTTGTCATTCCATTTGGAATTGCCATAATGTTTTTTTCAATATGCATTAATGTTATTGTCTGCACTATGAATTGGATATCTTAATATCTCATTAGTTCCTCTTAATCTCACAATTTCTTTTGTCAACCCGTTTGGCATGGCTACAATACTTACATTATTTGTTGGATATTTCAATAGCTCATCAATTCATCTTAATCTCATAATTTCTTTCGTTGACCCATTTCAAATTGCTATAATGTTTCCATCAATCTACATTAATTTTGTTATCTGGGTTATGATTTGGATATCTTAATATTTCCCCAGTTCATTTTAATCTCATAATTTCTTTTGCGGATACATTTGGCCTTGCAATAAAATTTAAATTAAGAGTTGGATTGCTTAATATCTCATGTGTTCATCTTTATCTCATAATTTCTTTTGTCGATTCATGAGGAATTGCTACAATATTTCTTCAATCACCATTAATATTATTATCTAGATTATGAGTTGGATATATTAATATTTCACTATTTCATCATAATCTTTTAATTTCCTTTGTCGACCCTCAGTGTAATCTTGGTAAACTTCCAATCGATTAAAAATAATGTGGGTTATTAGTGCACAAAAAGCATTAAAATTTTGAAAAATAAGGTTGTTAGCTGATTTAAATCTTATAATTTCGTTTGTGAGTCCATTTTGAATTGCTATAATGTTTTCTTCAATCCACATTAATGTTGTTATGTAGATTATAATTTGGATATCTTAATATCTAATCAGTTCATCTTAATCTCATAATTTCTTTTGAATGGCCTGGCTACAATATTTAGATTAAAAGTTGAATATATTAATATCTCACGAGTTCATCTTAATTATATAATTTCTTTTGTAGATCCATTTGCATTGCTACAATATTTTTTTCAATCCACTTTAATAATATTATCTAGCTTATGAGTTGGATATCTTATTATCTCATCAGTTCATCACAATCTCATAATTTCTGCTTTGGATCGTTCATGAAATCTTGATAAACTTCAAATCGATTAAAAATTATGTGTATTACTAGTGCACCAATCGCATTAAAAATTTAAAAATTAAGTTCACCAGTTCATTTTATTCTTATAATTTCATTTGTCAATCCACTTGGAATTGCTATAATATTTTCTTCAATCCAAAATAATATTAATATCTAGATTATGATTTGGATATTTTAATATCTCACCACTACATTTTAATCTCATAATTGCTTTCCATAATTTGTTTGTCATTACTACAATATTTAGATTATGAGTTGGATGTATTTATATCTTATCAGTTCATTTTAATCTAATAAATTTTTTTGCCAATTCATTTGGAATTGCTACAATATTTTCTTCAATCCACAATAATATTATTATCTAAATTATGAGTTGGATATCTTAATATCTAATCAGTTCATTATACAATCATAATTTCATTTGTCAATCCTCCGAAATCTTGGTAAACTTCCAATCGATTAAAAATTATGTGTATTATTAGTGGACAAAAAGCATTACAAATTTGAAGAATAAGTTCATCAGCTAATTTTTTTCTTATAATTTCATTTGTCAATCCATTTGGAATTGCTATAATATTTTCTTCAATCCAAATTAATGTTATTTTCTGGATTATGGTGTGAATATATTAATATCTCTTCAGTTCATCTTAATCTCATAATTTCTTTTGTCGATCCATTTGGCATTGCTACAATATTTAGATTATGAGTTGGATATTTTAATTTCTCATGAGTTCATCATAATCTCATAATTTCTATTATCGATCCATTTGGCATTGCTACAATATTTGGATTCTAAGTTGGATATCTTAATTTCTCATTAGTTCATCTTAATATCATAATTTGTTTTGTCAATCCATTTGGAATTGCTACAATATTTTCTTGAAGCTGCATAAATTGTTGCATAGGTTACATTTCGGATTATTATAATATGAATTTCACTCATGTTTTCCCACCAAATCCAAATATTTATATAAATAATTGCAAGAGCTATAGAAAGCTGGGTAGTATGACTTGTACAAGGATGAGAAACCAAAACCTCTTATTATATATCATAATATTAGCCAGCTGCAGCATTGTCCACATTGCTGCGTTTTGTGTTTTGACTGCTCGTTATGAGGTGCAAGTCTTCAATGAACTGTCACCCACCTCTAGCCCATTGTTGTTGCACTGTGCATCGAGAAATGATGATATTGGACAACACATACTTTATGCAAATCAAAATCTCAAGTGGCATTTTTGTGGTCGCCTTTTTGGACGTACATTGTTTTTCTGCCATCTATGGTGGGGTTCAAAGTATCAAGCATTTGATGCTTTTAATTCAGGATGGGCAAATTTTTGCTTTCATGGGATTTGCACTTGGGAAGCAAAGAGTGATGGTATCTATTTTCAATATGAGTCGGGATTAAAAAAAATATATGATTGGAAATGAAAACCCCCCTACTACTTTAATTCCTTAAACTAGAAATTTTTGTATCTTTCAAATGTCATGTCATAACCTTTATGAGTAATATAAGTTATAAATGTCAAAGTCAACTTAATTATATTAGTAATTTAAGCAGTCACCTAAGGTCCCATATTCGAGGAAGGCCCTACAAAAACTTTACGAAATTTCATATTTTCATATTTTGTCTAGTTTTTAGTAAATAATATTAAAATCCCAATATTCAGGACTCTTTTACTTCTTTCCTTGCTATTGAAAACTCAAGAGATCGTATATTATTACATGATGTAGATTGAATCTACAAACACACGACAACAATAACCAAACGGATTGAATTCAGAAACAAACTTTTATTATTTTGTGAACAACCAAGAAAATCCGAGGAGGCGTCTTGCAGCGTCTTAAATATGAAAGAAAAGACAATCTACTGGGCCAGCAGTCCCAAAATGGGCTGGGTTACAAAATGGAAATAACAAATGTTGAAAATAAATAACACAAAAACTTAAAATGCTGTTTTGACACACTAAACGACTTCAAATGCCCAAAAACCCTCGTACGTCACAGCACTGTGATTCAATCCGAAACGCTCGATACCTTTTTGAAATGGGGTTATGGGCCCAAAACGGACACCAAACGCAAAAGTTACATCAATTTCTTTGAAAGCCGACCATCCAACCATTCCATGTATGCCAATGCCTGTTCCTCCACATAAATCTCATCATTCTCCTCGGGATCAATGGGATTCGCCCTCGAATCAGAACCGGTAGCACTATCTCCCACGTTGTCTCCATGGTATGGCAAAAGATGCTTTACATTAAACACATCAGAAGTCTGTATATGGGAAGGAAGTCGAAGGCGATAGGCGTTGGGGTTGATCTTCTCCACAATTTCCACTGGACCAATGGTACGAGGTGATAACTTCGAATGCTCATGAGATGTCACTCGATCCTTAGTCAGTACTGCCCAAACATAATCCCCAACATCAAACTCAACAGGACGTCGATGCCGATCAGCCGCCTCTTTATACTTACGGTTGGACTCTAGCAGATTAGCTCGTGTTTCCTCGTGAACTTGTTGCAAACTATGAACAAAGTCAACAGCTGTCCCATGCAGCCGAGTCTTAGAGGGCAGAGTTAATAAATCAACAGGGCTGCGGGGCAGAATACTATACACAACTTGGAACGGACTGAAACCGGTGCTTCTATTTCTAGCATGATTATACGCAAACTCTGCCTGGCTAAGCCGCTGATCCCATGAGCATAGATTATCCCCAACCAAGCACCGCAACAAGTCACCCAAAGAACGATTAACTACCTCTGTTTGTCCATCAGTTTGAGGGTGATAAGCACTACTAAAATTGAGCGACGTGTTAACTGACTTCCATAAACTCCGCCAAAAGTGACCGATGAACCTCGTGTCTCTGTCAGACACGATGAAAGTGGGCAACCCATGCAACCGATAAATCTCTCTGAAAAATAGCTGAAAAACCTTGACAGCATCAGTGGTGCGCTTGTAGGGAATGAAGTGCACCATTTTAGAAAAACGGTCTACCATCACAAAGATGGAATCATTACCACGTTGTGTGCGCGGTAAACCCAGGACAAAATCCATGCTAATATCAGTCCACGGAGCTGAAGGCACTGGTAAGGGTCGATAAAGACCGGCGTTTGTGGCTTTCCCCTTTGCCACGTGGCACACCCTGCATTGTGAGACAAACTTCTCCACTTCACGACGCATAGTAGGCCGGAAAAATGAAGCGCTAATCAAAGCCAAAGTACGATCTCGCCCAACATGACCTTCATGATGAAACTCCTCAATCAATTTCAGACGAAGGCTGTAATTTGGTATACACAACTGAACAACTCTAAACACATACCCATCCTCTAACAGAAAAGAGGAATGGGGTCCCTGTAGTAAACTGTGATAGATGGGGCCAAAATAAGGGTCATCAGCATAAAGAGAGACAAAGGTCTCAAACCTGGTGACCGCTACCTGTAGCCGCGCTAATAACCCAGGCCCCCGACTGAGCGCATCTGCCACACAATTAGAAGAACCAGCCTGATGTTTAATGACAAAGTTGAACTGCTGCAAAAAGGGAACCCATGATGCATGACGGGCAGATACAGACTCCTGGCTTGACAAATACTTGAGGCCTTCATGATCACTGTATAAGACAAATTCTCGCTGAAACAGATAATGTCACTAATGGCGAATGACCTGAACAACAGCATAAAGCTCTGCGTCGTAAGTGTTATACCTCCCACGAGCCCCTGCCAACTTCTGACTAAAATAAGCTACTGGTTTTCCTTCCTGACTGAAGACAGCTCCGATACCCAATTTAGAGGCATCACAATGTAATGCAAAAGGTTTTGTGAAATCAGGCAACGCAAGTATCGGGGCTGAAGTCAGACGCTCCTTAATGATCAAAAACGCTTTCTGAGCCTCGGGTGTCCACTGAAAGTTACTCTCCTTCATGCAATCGGTAATGGGAAGCATGATGGTGCTGAATTGCTGAATAAATCGTCGATAAAACTACGCTAAACCGTGGAAACTCCGCACATCAGAAACTAACTGTGGACGCGGCCACTGCCGAATCGAATCAACCTTAGCTACATCCACCGTTACCCCACCGACTGACACAACATACTCCAAAAACAAAATACTATCGGTATAGAACACGCAATTCTTAGTGGCTGCAAAGAACTTCTCCTTGCGTAAAACAGTAAGGACTTCCCTTGGATGCACACCATGAGACTCCTCCGACCCACTGTACACCAATATGTCATCGAAGTATACAACAACGCACTTACCAATAAACAGTCGAAGTGCTTGGTTCATCACCCGCATGAACATGGTCGGTGCATTGGATAGTCCAAACGGCATAACTAGCCACTCAAATAATCCTTCCCGTGTCTTAAATGCTGTCTTCCACTCATCACCAGGACAGACTCTTATCTGATGGTAACCACTTTTCAAGTCCAGTTTGGTAAACACAGTTGCGCCGGCAAACTGATCAAGCAAGTCATCTAGCCTCGGTATCGGAAAGCGATAACGAACTGTTATTTTGTTGATGGCTCTGCTATCTATACACATCCGATAACTCCCATCTTTTTTTGGCACTAGGAGTGCGGGGACTGCACACGGGCTGAGACTCTCTCTGATGTACCCCTTCTGCACCAACTCCTCTACTTGTCTCCTCAACTCCTCATGTTCCACTGGGCTCATTCGATAATGTGGGCGATTAGGCAATGATGCGCCCGGTACTAAATCAATGTGATGTTGCATATCCCGCAAAGGCGGAAGACCCTGTGGAAAGTCATCCGGAAACACATCATGAAACTCAGATACCAAGGCGGCAGCTTTGGGGTGAAGACCCGTTCCCTCGGCTGCCATAGGAATTGTCGACACTCCTGTCACCTCAGTTCCCACAAACAACAGTACAACACCTTTTGTCAGCATCTCATGCACAAACAAAGATCGGAAAAGTAGATTACTACTGTCCCCTGTCGAAGACAGACACTGCATATCTTTGGAGGGTAGTAATACAATCTTTTTACCCGAAAAGGTGAATGTATATGCATTTCGACGCCCTTCATGGCACACATCCCTATCAAACTGCCATGGACGACCCAACAACAAATGACACGCATCCATCGGCACCACATCACACCAAACACTATCATGATACACACTGCCAATAGAAAAAGATACCAACACACGGCTAGTAACACGAATTTCATTACCTCGTCTCAACCAGGCTAGGCTATAGGAAGCAGGATGAGGTTCGGTGCTTAACTGCAGCTTCTGCACAGTAGTTTGAGATATCACATTTTCGCAACTGCCCGAATCAATGATGACCCTACACACCTTTCCTCCAATGGTACACGTAGAAAGAAAGAAATTGTTTCGCTGCAGGTCCTCAGACGACCCCTTAGGCGTAAGGCACGCCCGTCGGACAACCAAAAGAGGCCCCGTGTCACCTGTATGCACAATTTCAGCCTCTTCTTCTTCATTCTCCACATGAACAGAATCTTTAACATCGGCTTGTGTTGTCCCTCCAATGAACAAACCTGGGCGTGGCTGCCCATGAGATGGACATTCCTTCCTCAAATGACCAAAATCACCACAACCAAAACACTGACTTCCACGCCCTCGTCCACCAGGAGGAGCCCAGCCACCCGGATTAGCGGTTGGAGGAACCACTGGCCGAGTGTTCCGATCAACACCCCGACCCCCAGATGTAAAGGATTGGGACGGACCAGATGTGGGATTTGGGGCAAATTGTCGACCCCCACCTCCAGATGGACCACCAGGAATGCCTACTACAGAACGACGTTGTTGTTGATTTTCAGCCTGAAGTGCTCACTGGTGAGCCTCAGAAATAGATACCGGCGAGAACATGTTTAGGACGTCTTGAAAATTCAATCGTAGTCCACCAATATAGCGCACTATCAACTGGTCTTCTGATTCTCCCACATCATTTTGCGCTATCAGTTGGTAAAACTCTGTGGAATAAGCATCTACAGATCGATTGCCTTGTCTCAAATTCTATAAGCGCTGATACAAAGTCCTGGAATAATTAAAGGGAAGAAACGCTGCCTTCAACTGTTTCTTCATTTTTTCCCACGACTGGATTTTCGCCTTACCCTGACGGATCCGGTTTTGCTTCAATTGCTGCCACCACGTAGCAGCACGACCACGCAAACGGGTCGCCACCAAAGGTACCCTTTTATTGTCGGGCACTTCTTTGTAATCCAAGATCTCCTCTACTGCTGCCAGCCAATCGAGGAATTCATCTGCCTCAATTCCACCGTGAAATTCAGGTATATCAACCTTGAATCCAGATTCCCATCGTTGAAACGCGTCCTGTTGTTGCACACGAGGCTGTTGAACACGATCGCCACTTGTCTCTGACAAGGTCTCCTCATCCGACCTCTACCCTGATTCAGATCCATCTCCACCATCACTCACTGGGGCACGACGTGGAGGAGTAGGAGGTGTTCCGTTCTGCACAACCTCTGCCGCACACATCATGAATTGATCAAATCGGATTGTCAACGCCTCAACTTGATTACGCAGATCTGTAACTTCATCAATCTGGCCACCACGGCCACCACGACAACCACGTCCTCTCCCACACACCATCCTTTGATACCAAAATGATGTAGATTGAATCTACAAACACACGACAACAATAACCAAACGGATTAAATTCAGAAACAAACTTTTATTATTTCGTGAACAACCAAGAAAACCCTAGGAGGCATCTTGCAGCGTCTTAAATATGAAAGAAAAGATAACCTACTGGGCCAGCAGTCCCAAAATGAGCTGGGCTATAAAATGGAAATAACAAATGCTGAAAATAAATAACACAAAAATTTAAAATGCTGTTTTGACACACTAAACGACTTCAAATGCCCAAAAATCATCGTTCGTCACGGCAAAGCGGTGAGTTCAATCTGAAACGCTCGCTACCTTTCCGAAATGGGGTTATGGGCCCAAAATGGACACCAAACGCAAAAGTTACATTAATTTCTTTGAAAGCCGACCATCCAACCGTTTCATATATGCCAATGCCTGTTCCTCCACATAAACCTCATCATTACAATTTATAATTAACTCTTTATTATTACTGCTTATATTTTTAATAACTTATTGAAGCAATTGACAGAAAGCAATTTTTACCAATTCGAGTATGCCTAATGCTACTATTATTTTCTTGGAAATCAATAATTATCATTTAAGAGCCATTTCATGCGTTCTAATTGAAAACTTTTGAAGTGAATGAATGTGCTAAAATTTTCGTCTTGTATAGTAAAAATTATTTTCTTGTATCAACTTTAAGAACAAAATTTACTTCTTATATAAAAAGAGAGAACAATTTTCATTTGTGTAATTACCTGAATGCGTTATTGCGGAATTTCGATAATTTCAACTTTAAATACTTTTTTGGGCAAGTGTTGGTTTATAGATTTTCTTTCATTTGAATTTCATGGATAATCGTGTTTGATAATTCTTACATATGTTAAATTTACGAGATTAAAAATAAAATTTGATGATTTTACTATTTTGAATTTTTGGATTGAATTTAGTTTTCTAAGTGTTGATCAAATCATCAAGTTATATATCTAGTGCCTTTTAAATATTCTCGTGTGATGCTTTATTTATTTATTATTATTTTTATTTAATTTAGTAGTTAGTGATATTATCAAATCTTGTTTAGCATTATATTTTTTCGATGGAGTTCTACGAAGCTTGTATTCATCATTATCCTATTTACTCATACAATGTAAAAATATCAGTAGACTATGTTGTTAGAAATTTTATAAACAACCAAACTTTATGAAACTTTATATCTATATTACCAAGATCTCCATGTCAAAACACCTAGAGTAATAACAAATGTGGAACATACCTCAATCCATTGCTTGAAATCATGAATATCGACTTGCAACCTCTTCAATGTTGACTTCTTGCTCTTTAATCTAGATTGCCTTAATTCCTTCTTTTTTATTCTTGATTGTGGTTTTTGGATCTTCCTCTTATGCTTTCTCTTGTATTCTTGTGTATGGGATGACATAAAAAATGAAAAATCACATACGGATTGTGGATCATAACCCTATATATAGTTTTTATATGTATTTTGTCCATCATGAAACAAAACTCTAATGAATCCAATCTCTACACATGTTTAAGCCCATACTTTGTTTAGATGACCAAAGCCCATGACTTTAATTCTTTATTAAACCGCTTTAATTGAGCTTAATCTTAAGATAGTCTTTAACACACTATTAATTACATATGTAGGCCCACATAACAATTAATCTCAACAATCTTCCATATTACTTTACAAATGTACATAACCTTATGATGACAAAACTTTTGCTATCATAACCAAAAGTATCTCCAAACAATCTCGTCAATTAATCATGTCAATATAGAATCAAAGCGATCTTCATTACAAGTAATACAACTAAACTCATCAATGGTCACATATATTAACACAATTAAATGACATAGATCAAGTATGAATTTGTAACATGAAAATTAGATGCAATGTGACCCAAACATGCCTTCCAACTAGTCCTACCTTATTCTTTAATGAGATCAAAGCAAAACTTTAATCAGAGTGAAAATTGAACTGAATACTTTATTACTGAAAATAATATGAATATCTATAAGCATAAAATGTGTCTTAATTTGACAACAACCAAATACGAACTCCCACTTAACTATCATATCATCAAAAAGTGCAACACTCATAATATGCTCATGAAAGACCCTAGATGTAGTGCTTTAGTAAGCGGAACTGCAATTATGAAGTTCGTCCTAATATGCTCTATAAAAACCTAACAACTTTGAATTCTTTTCTTAACAATCGAGAACTCAATGTCCATAAACATCGATAACACGAAGCTCCTGTTGGAATACAAGACTCCTATTGTCACCAAATAACTTAAGTGGTCTTCAATTCCATTCAAAATTTCCAATTTAGTGACTAAATTTCACAGTCATATTCCATGACCAAAATCAAAATATCCAATGATCTCCAACTGGTCTGATTTCTTGTATGTGATCATGTAATCCATATTTTCTATAGATACCAAATAACTCGCTAGGCTACTTTCCAAATATCCAATCCACATTTATTAAGTATTTGCCCAGCATTCCAAAAATGAATGCTATATTTGTATGTATGTAAACCTAAGCATACATTAAACTCCCAATCATTGAAGAAAAGATAAACTTTTTCTTTAAGTTTACCTCTGGGCATTGATTGAGACTAAACTTGTCATCTCTAATAGTATAAGTATCACTTGGTTTTCCTCCCTCAATCCCAAATCTCTTAAGAAGCTTTTTGATACAGATCTTTTGACATAATCCAAAAGATACCCTGAGTATGATCACGATGTATTTGTATTCTTAACACAAAAGAGTCATCCCAAGATCTTTCATTTCAATTTTCCATAACAGAAGTATCTTGATGTCATTCTATAACGCTATATCATTGCAAGCAAACATTAGATCATCAGCATACAATATCAAAAAAAAATGCTTATTCTCCCTGAACTTGTTATACACACAACCATAAATCAAATATATCTCAAAACCAAACGAGATAATTATTTGATGAAATTTATGTTAGAATTGATGAGAAGTCTGCTTAAGCCCATAGATGAATTTTTTTTTTTAATTTGTAAGCCATCAGACATAACTCAAAATCAAAATATTAACAAGTACCATAATAGTCCTAAAAGAGTTGCTCATAAGAATCGAAGAGAAAGTCTCTTTAAACTCAGTGCTTTCTTCAGAGTAAAGCCATCTGCAATAGGACAAGTTTTATATTTCTTCACATTACCCTTAGAATTTCTCTTTATTTTAAATATTCATTCACAACTAATAGGTTTCATACCTTCAAGTAATAGGATTAGTTCCCAAATGTCATTGTCTTTCATAGACTTTATCTCCTTATTGATGGCATCAATTCACTCTTGAGAATTATTCCTTTGCATTGCTTGATGAAAATTGATTGGATTTTCTTCCACCAATCAATGAGACATCTTATTTCTTTGGGAGAATGACTATAAAGTTATTTGAAATTGCAAAAAGACTATAAAGTTATCTGAAATCGCCTTTATCCATTTCTAATGTATATCTTTAATGGCATTTATTCGTGAGGTAGTTGAGTTTGTTATTCTAAAACAATTTCTTGATAATTTATAAGGGGTTTTGTTACTATATTTCTTGATCATGAATTTCTTATTGATTAAGATCTAGAGCAAGTATTTGTCCATGGTCCTGATTATTATCAACTGCAACAGAAGTGATTTATACATATTCTTCCTCAAAGACAAAATCCTTAACTTTAAAACCTTATTTCGCCTCACTAACTCTACATCCTTATAGAACTAAACATTTTTCGTATTAAAAATTGACTAGATCACTAATCTTAAAATGTTTAAACCTTAAAAGTTACTTTATTTAACTTTATTGAGAATTTAAGCTTCAATTTTTAGTGTTTATTCCCAAGAGATTCTGGTGAGGTATAATGACTAATCATACTCCTGACTATATCCTGGTGTTTTATTTTTTCTCTCAATAATGCCATTCATGTTAGGGAACCCTATCATGGTATAGTATGGGACGATTCCACATTCTCTAGGAAATTAACAAAAAGTTGTGTATGTTGTTCTCACGATCCATCATATCTGCCATAATATTCACCACCACAGTCAGATTTTACGTATTTTATTCTTTCGCTGAGTTGATTTGTTTCCACATTTCTCTAAGAAATTAGCAAAAGGCGCTGGACATTGTTCTCAAGATCTGTCATATCTGCATAGTATTTACCATCATGGTCAAATTTGATGTGTTTATTTGTTTGCTATGTTGATTTTCAACCTCAACTTTGTAAGCCTTGAACATGTCCAGTGATTGAGATTTCTAATGATTGAGATATAGATAGCTATAGCACGAAAAATTGTCTATGAACATAATAAATGATAGCTGATCATTTCAAGACGTCAAAGGAAATTACTCGCAGATGTCTATGTGAGTTAGTTCTAAGATGTTCGAAGTCATGTTGACACCTAATCTCCTTATATTTGTTTGTTTTCCCTTAATGCAATTAACCGTAACACTTTTAAGTCTAAAATGATGAGATCAAGAATTTCTTCTAACACAAGTTTTTTTATTCTCTTTAGAGAGATGTGATCTAATTGCTTGTGCCATAATGAAATGAAATTCTCATTGGTTAATTTACGTTTAATACGATGCGAATTCATATTCAATGTTTCATCATAAGAGACAACCGCATTAAGCAAATATACATTGTTATAACTAGATAAAGAACTGGTACCCATAACATTTAAATTAAGAAAAAGACAAAATTGACTATTTTCAAATGAACAAGGGAAATTATTTTTCTTTTTATTTTCATGTATAATTGGAATATTTTACAAAATGAGTAAGGAAAATGTATTGAAGGAAGATAAAAGACTAATTGCTAAACGAGAATCACCATATACACAGCGAGTATTGATAACCCTTTTCTACGCCTATTTTGTGCACATATTGATGACGATAAATAATTTATGTTTTCGGGTAGAATAGGCCGTGGTTGGTTTGTCGTTTTTGGCCCATTT